TTATAAATAATGAATATAATATATAGATCACTCGTGTTATGAACTAAATTTACAGCTGGATATGTACCGAATATAATATACAGATGGATATTACTATTAAAAAAGAGGTTTTTACAGTTATGTACAATAGCATAATATACAGATGGGTTTTACTATAAAATGAATAAATAGAGTTTGGCTTAAAACACTGATTACACATTTTTAAATGTATTTTACATTGTTAAAACACAACAAAACTTGGAAATGCCACTTGAGCAGTCCTGGATAGAAAACATTCACAGACAAAATAAAGTTTTAATCTTTTATATAATGCATATTGTTTGTTAGTTTTACAGTTTTTGGTTTAAATATGAAATTTTTAGGGGGTTGCTCTTTTAGCAAATTTCATGTTTAGGGATCAGTATATGATCATGATTATACAGTTATTCAATCACTTGATTAGTTGAAAGTTGTTTTATAAATCTATTAATGTGATTGTTTCTGCCGTTGTATGCAGCAACCAGAACTGGAGAAGTTAAAATGAGGAAGTAGGAAAATGACTGGCTTTTGTTTTAAAAATAACTTTCAATATGTTTCAAAACAGAAGAATTTTAAAAGAATTTGGTTAGATGTCATGCAATGTCAGGCATAATGTCAAGTATTCTTGTTAAAAATCCAGTATAAATAATGAATACCAGGGGCTGAAGGATATAGAATGTCTTCTGTCTGCTTTGGTTTATGTATATTTCAATAGACTTTTTTCATCACTCCTTAGACAGAAACATTTTTCTTCAGTGCATTAACTCTCTTATTCATGCTCTCTTTCAAACTGCCAGAACAAAGCTCTGTCCCCTTCAAGCCTGGATTAGAAGTCTTAATTCTAAGTGTTTGCTTTGTTTTAGCTTTTCTCTAAATTCCCTCACAGTCCATCAGGACGTTTTATTCTTTTTTTTCCTCTCTCTTCCGTGTCTATTTTTCTCTCAGATTGATTTAGATCTCATCAAACAGAGATGTCAGGGGAACAGCTTTCAGATGTTATCCAACATCTAAAGGTTAAGGGCTAAGTGAAAGTTCTCAATGATTTTTTTTTGGTTGGCCTTTTTTTTTTTAATAAGTCAAGATAATTTCTCTGCTGAAACTGAAAAATAACATACTTCTACCAGCAGTCTGCCACTTCTCCTTACATCTCTTAAAATATCTTACAAAAATGTTCCCACTTATATTTGGAAGAGTGATAGGCACCAGCATCAATCACGACCCCAGCAGGGATAAGCGTAACGAAAAATGGATGAATGGATTTGAAAGGTTTTAATAATCTTAACCAGTGGGTGTCAAACATTGTTGCACTGGGTGTGTTCTAAGAAAAAAGGTACAAAACAAATTAGTTTAAGTTCTCAGTGGGAGAAAACACAATAAGGAGGAGGTGAGAAACGACTTTAGTTAAAAAAGAA